GGGGGGGAGAGGGGGGATGGCAGTTGGGTGGGAGAGGGTTGTTCTGCATGTTGTGGAAATGTACCAACCAGGAATATAAGTAAATACTAAGACACAAAACTGATACTATTTTCTTGCTCTAGAGAATTGAGATGGGGGACCCCTTGTCCCCCTTTCTTGTTATTTTGGTTATGGAAGTATTGAGCAGACTGATGCTGAGGGTAGGGGGACTTGAGTACTGGTTTATATTTATTATTTCCTGTCTTATTTTGTCAGCAGAGGGAGGTGCATCTGAGGTTATTGAGTGTATACTATTGTGTTGGGAGGCTGTTGCAGACTTGAAAATGTACCTCGCCAAGAGAGAGACAATACCCAGGGCGTAGGGTTGAGGTTGGCTGGAAATTTGGCAGCAATGGTGGGGCGTAGGGTGGGTTCCTTTCCTTGCACTTTGGGCTTCCTCTAAGGTCCAAGTACAAGACAAAGGTCGTATGGATTACAGTGGTGGAGAGGTTTCATGGGAGGTTTCAAAGCACTCTTTTAACCGTTGAATATATTTTATTGCTCTTTTTGGAATTCTGGCTTCAGTTGAGAAAAGGTAGGAGAAACACAGAGAATCCGTGAGGACATTCAGAAGAGGGGAAAAAAGATTAGTTTAGTGTGTTGGGATAGGGTGTGTGGACTGTTGAGGGATGGGAACTGGGGTTGAGGAAGATGCAAAATTTCAACCCGGAGTTGCTTGGCAAATGGCTATGGAGATTAGCAAGTGGAGTGAGGAGTGTTATGGAGGAGGGTGGTGATGACGAGGCATGGGTGTGGATGGGTAGGGGGTATTCATGGGTGATATTTGGGGGGCTTAAGGAGTAGGGGTGTGGCAAGAGTAGTTTGGGATATAGGTTATTGGGAAGAATTTTGAACCATTCATCAATTTGAGATAAGGGAAGGGAGGAGGGTGAGGCTTCGGTAGGACAGGTGGTGTAAGGAATACCTGCTTGCTTGTAGATTCCTGTCCTCTTCAGGGTGGTCTCCAACAAGGAGTTTTCTACTGAGTAGAGTCTATTTAGGGGTGGTGGTACAGTGGTATGACATCCCATCTTTAGGAGGGTCCTTGATGACGAGAAGATTTAGGCAATGGTTGAACTTCTGGAGCATTTGCAGGGCGTGAAAGTGGGGTTGCCTGAGAGTGATGTGGTATGGGACGTTTACTTTGAGTGCATTCCATAGAATTCTGTTTCTTGGGAGTGGGTAGTTGGTACCTTTTATTGGAATGGTATTTGGGAGGCCATCATGCCTTCTAAGGTTATGCCTTTTGCATGGACAACAACTCCCCTCCTCTCCGCAGGGTTGGGGGAGGGGGGTTAGTGTTTATATTTTCACTGTAGATAACCTGAGGAGGAGGAAGAGGAGCTTTCAACTTTCAAATTAAGTGTGTCTATCCAAAGAAGAATCTGTGAGCCACATTTTTTTGCTTTTCACAGGATTTATGCTCAGTGATGTTCTCATTGGTCTACATGGCATGGTGTACACTTAATTCTTCAAGGGGGTGATAGTTGCCTTGTTGGACTTTTTATTTTTATTTTTGTGGGGGAGGGGATGTGTTACGTGCACACTTTATAGAAAAATATAAACAAAACGAAAAAATAGAATAGGGAAAAGGAAACCTGCTTTGAGGGGGGTAGAAACCTCCATTGGTTTACTTTGATGGGACCCGACCTCCCAAACTTTTCACAAGGAAGTTAATCACAAATATTCGGTACCTTTTCCATTGATCTTAAGCACTTTAAATATAATGAGATAACACCTACAAGATAATTACTAAACCCCATGATCCCACTACTAGGTAAACTAAATACTATACCACTAACCCATTCCCTACATAAACTCCTAGAAATTAGCTTACATAACATTCAGATAAATAGAAAATTAAAAGCATGTAACAGGCTACTTGGGGAAGAGGACAAGGGAGTTGTGGTGTTNTCATTCCCTACATAAACTCCTAGAAATTAGCTTACATAACATTCAGATAAATATAAAATTAAAAGCATGTAACAGGCTACTTGGGGAAGAGGACAAGGGAGTTGTGGTGTTTGATTCTGTCAGCATTATTTTGGCATGTATTGAAGGAAAGAAATAGAAGGATTTTTGAGAGTATAGACTAGAGATTTCCAAGAGAGGTTTAAACAAACTCTTTGAATTGTTATGAGATACCTTTAATCCATCAAAAAAAGAGTATGAGTCTCTCTTGGCATCGTCTTGGCATCGTGATCGATGAGAGTTGCATATTACTTTCCCCCAACATTTTTCTGTCTTTGGTGGAAACAATTTGTTGTATTATATTTTTTATTGTTTGCATTTCAGTTTCCTTTGTCATAAATGAGGGGAAGGAAGGGTGGAGAGGATGAGGGGGACTTGGGTTGATCAAGAATATTTCTGCTTACATTTTAGAGGCNCTCTTTGAATTGTTATGAGATACCTTTAATCCATCAAAAAAAGAGTATGAGTCTCTCTTGGCATCGTGATCGATGAGAGTTGCATATTACTTTCCCCCAACATTTTTCTGTCTTTGGTGGAAACAATGTGTTGTATTATATTTTTTATTGTTTGCATTTCAGTTTCCTTTGTCATAAATGAGGGGAAGGAAGGGTAGAGAGGATGAGGGGGACTTGGGTTGATCAAGAATATTTCTGCTTACATTTTAGAGGCTCTCAGTAATTCCAGTAGAACCTGTGATATTAAATGTGAATGATGATTAAAATTGAAAGACTAGGTTTTCATATATATGTTTTTGCTCGAAGCGTCATTTTCACTTTTTGCATAAGCAATTTCAAATCCATTACATTATTATATAGCATATTATAATGTGTGCTACAATCCTTTCTATGTATCGGCTCTTTCTTTGTAGTGGATTTCACAAGAGACTTTTTGAGTTGAAGTTAGTGAATGATCAGAAAGGACTTTGGATGTCTATGAGTTTGCCTCTTAACTTGTTCCGTAGTGATCACTAACCACTAGGATACTTTTTGATACATTGACAAGTTTCAAGCTCGTAGATTTTGCTTTATGTTACTGATGGATAACAGCTAAAAGATTTTAAGCTCGTGAGTGCAAGATTAAGCGCCCTTTTTTTGAAGAAAAAATAGCTTATTAGCTCGTTAAGCTGTTAAATTCCGGGTGCAGATCTTATAGGAACCAATTTTGGCCGGAAATCCCTAGCATAGGCTTAACTCTTCACCCTCTGCCCCTTCTTAGATTTGGACCCTGCACCAATTATTACATGTCATGCCATTGCTGCTTCTTCCATTGGCGTGGCTATAGGCTCCACTCTTCATAGCCTACCCTTAATTTAACCTTCCGCAAATGGGAGGGTACTGTATGCTTATTTTGAGGCTACTAAATTCACATGTCATTTTCTTTCTGCAGTATGCGGGTCTTATCTCTCTTCCCCGTGGAATCTATTGAACAACTGCACGAGAACAAGTCACTTTGAGAAGTGGTTTCATATGTTCCTCTGTCCATGAATGGTAATGTTGAACTTCTTTAGGTTTGTTGAGATTCAAGGATCAAAATTGTCTCTGTGGCCTGTGCTTTTTTCGGTCACTTATAAAACATAAACGTTTCAGAAATAAAATGAATTGATTTCCAAAACATTGGTTAAAACATATGAAACATTTCGAAATACCTCAAAAATATAGGAATTTCAACATTCAAACACCGATTCAATTCGATTTTAATGGAAATGAAAACGTTATGATTGTTTTGACCGTTTTGAAAAGAAAATATTGTTCCTTGGTGAGATGTACGCATTATATTTCAATGTTCCAAACAACACCACAGTATTATTAATTGAAGTCTTGAATCCAATATTACCACATATTTTGAACCATCTTTTATGTCTTGTACAGCAGAGGGAACACAGCAGCTGGAAGACACCATTCTGTATCTTCTGTATATAAAAAAACATGTGTAACTAAGCCTTCATTTGTACAGAAATCAGATATAAACCACTTTGTTTGTCAGGTATGTGTTCATCATAAAATGAAAGTGATTTTCTCGACGGAGGCGAGTTTTCTCTTCGTCTTTTTTTTTTTTTGTCTTATTGAAAAAGTTTGCGTAATGGTTGCATAGAAGTAGACATTAACATAAAAAGTAAGTGGTACTTATTTTAGTTATCATTACATCCACTTAAATGAAGTAAGTTATTGTGATGATCGGCTGGAATAGAATGACAATTTTTTTTTTTTTGAGTAACGAGGTAAATCTCTGGGCTGTTCTGGACGAGTCAAGGTGTTTTTATGTTGCTCAGGCTTATGGATTCGAGTATAATCGAGGGCAAACCTTAGATGCATGAACTAGTTTCTCAATCAATACACCAGTTAAATTAGAATTTGTGCTTCGGTGGAGATTTGAATTCAAAGACTTGTATATGGTTCGTCCAAGTGATTGAGGTATGTCCTATGAACTGACCACGTTTTTATAGCCAGGGGACTTGAATTTTGGGTCCGTTGGTAGAATGACAACTTGCTTTGTTCTTAAGGTGAAAAATAAAGAGGAGAATCTTTGCTTGCTCTCAATGAAGACTTTTTGATTGCCAAAGCCACTGGAAGCACTTTTTTTGGTACTACGTGAAAAACAATTGTACACAAAAGTGCTTGTCTTTGGTGTGGAGGAGCAACTTCCATTTTCAAGTACTAAACTTTTAGCCTTTTCAACTTTGCTTTCTTTATCAGTGCAATGTATACATCAATATGCTTTTTCCACTCTATATTCCACAATCTATACTCTAATTTACTTCAGTTTAGATTCACATGTGCTTAAAACTAAGGTTATTAAAACATTTGTCCTAATGTGTATCGTTTTTAAAAAATCATGTATTGTGTATTGACTTTGTAAGATACATTCAATTTTTAAAAAATAAAAAAATAAAAAAATAGATAAAAATATAAATATATAATGCTTAAAACAACTTAATATGATTCATCATTTCATGTGATGTGTTTTTGTGATAGAGATTGAAAAAGACAACCTTTCATTATTGTAGAAGAGGTAAAAGTAAAACTAGGTTTTTGTTTGTTTGAAGAAGACAAAAAGAAACAAGAAAGGTATAATAGAATCACAAAAGAAGATTATTGCGAGCTTTTATATGTTTGTGATGAAAAAAAAAAGAAAAAAGAAAAAGTAACTTTCAGAAAATGATGTCAATTCATTGTTTAGAATAAAAAAACGTGACAATTGAGATGCAACTAATCAATTTAATTCACACATATTTCTCTTTTTTGTCATCCTTATGTCTCTTTTTTGTCATATCCACTTTAATTTTAAATGGGGTATTAAAGAAAATCAAATGTAAAATAAATTATTATTTAAAATATAAATGTTGCACAATTAATACTTGATTTTAGTATTACAGAGTGTTTTCAGGCATGAGGTTATTATTATTTCTAAATATTTTGCAATTTTTATAATCTAACATGCTTTAATTTAGATTTGCATGTGTTTAAAACTAAAGTTGTCAACACGTTTATTGGAACTTTCATCTTTTTAAAAAAATGATGTATTGTATATCGGAAGACATTCAAATTTTCTTTAAAAAAATATATTAATAACAATGTATAAATTAAAATATAAATCTATAATGCCCAAAACAATATCAATATGATTCCATCTCTTTTATCATCTCATGCGACGTGTGTTTGTGACAGAGATTGGATGAGACAATCTTTCATCTTTGCGGAGCAGGCAAAAATAAAAATAGGTTTTTCTTTGTTTGAAGAAGAAGAAAAGAAATACGAAAAGTAGAATAAAATGGCAAAAGAAGATGATGATTGAGCTTCATATGTTTGAGATGAAAAAAAAAATAACTTACAGAA